CTAATGTCAACATTTATTACCTGCTCTGCTAGCATGTCCCTAGTAAGTAATAGGACTTCTATAAGTAGGTATAATCAATGAGATATATTTAGAAAGTAAATATAGAATTTTTGCATTACGAAATCACTTAAAAACAAGTATAGATAATTATAACCTGAAAACTGAAGTAACTAAGTAAATTACAAAGAAAACAACGAAGTCAGTGAAATCTCATTTATGGGGTCAAGGGTCAGTAATATGTGTATTCCTCCTCCCTACCTAGAGAAAATAGAGAGGTTATTTCCGATAAACTCTCGGCTCAGAAAAGATACGAAGGTAAAAAGGAAAAAAGGCCCAGGAAAGATAAAATGCACGGAATAACAATAAGCAGCGAACCAACAAAGCAATCACAAAACCAAAGCGCAAGAACCAGCAGGTAGTAATAGAAATCTAAGAACAAAAAATACAAGACTAGCACTAAATAGAGGGTCATTTGCATCTATACCCGTTTTTTGGGTCACGTTTTAACTTGTATCCGCTCTGCAAAAAAAATTGCAAGCGTACCCACCTTTTCATGTAACTTCAGCATACGGGGCTGAAGTAGCAAAGACAATCACGCAAAACTTCAGTATTCTAGTAGACGAGACTGAAGTAGCAAGTGTGCTGAACCAAGTGTGCTGAAATTTTTATTTGTAATTGCTGAACTTAAGCATAATAGCTGAAGTTTTGTTCTCTATTTGCTGAAGTTTTGTTTTTGTAACTGGCGAACTTCAGCTCTATTTGCTGGAGTTTTTGTTTTGTAACTGGCGAACTTCAGCTCTAGAGCTGAAGTTTTTGTTTTGTAACTGGTGAACTTCAGCTCTAGAGCTGAAGTTTTTATTTGTAACTGGCGAACTTCAGCTCTAGAGCTGAAGTTTTTGTTTAACTTCAGCTCAAGAGTCTTTTTCCCTTTATAATGATACTGTCACGAAAACATGAAAATAACTGCTTTACTGTCACATAAAGCATTCAATAGCAAGGATACCTCATCTTATAACTCTCTAATCGGACCAATTATTTAGATGATTAGTTCAACAACTAAACCATCCAAAGGAACTGTTAATCGATATTTGATAAAGCAAGAAACTTTTTAACAATTTACATAAACCAATATGATGATGTTAATGCCATGCATTATCAAATAAGATATGTTGCTTCGTCATTTAACAGATCATCTATTGCCACCATTCAATCAAGCAACAAGACTTCGATATTCTTCGGAGAGGCATTTATGATGCGAAATTGCACTGTATATTCCTATTTTTTTCTTATTTATTTCTTCTGCACTAACAGAAATACAATTTGTGCAGTGCGACTTTAGAAAGAGGTTGAGGGCGGATATAACTTTGAAGAGGAGAAGGAGGAGGAGAAAAGGGGCTGAAGTTGTTTAAAAAATGGGTACAAGTTAAAACGTTTTTTAAAAATGGGTATAGGTTAAATGGGGGCGACCAAATAGAGCGCCCTGTGCAATTTTTGCTAAATAGAGCTCTAAAACTACTGGTATGAACGAAGAAGACGCTCGGCTACCTAACCTTCTACCCTAATTCTCGGTCTCCTTACATTTCTATCGAGGGTCATGTTCACTATATCTTGCCTAATCACTTCTCCCAATACTTTTTTCGCCTATCCCTACCTCTCCTAGGTCATCCAAAACCAACCTCTCATGCCTCTTCACTGGGGCATCAATCGTCTCTCCTCTTCACATGTCCAAACATCTAACAAAGTAAATTAAAATACACGAATAATGTAAACATTCTTGTACATTATTGGTCATATATAAGTTAAATTCATAAGATAATGATCTTGAGGATAAAATTAACAAAATCACAAGGAGGGTGATGTTGGATTTTGGATGGAATTCCTTGTTTTGTTATGAAAGGTGTGGATCCCACTAGAGAAGATTGCCATAAGAAATAGAAAGTGAAAGATTTTTTTAAAATTGTTTTCTAACGTTTTATACCTGTCTAAAAGCAAGATAAGCGTAAAGATTTGGCTGATTGTGAAGAAAATCGACAAGTGTCTAATCTTTTTATTGTTTTATAATGTTTGAAAATATTGTTAGTGGTTAAAGCTTTTCCTGCTTATTAGGATCCTATGCTTTTCTTTAAAGTAAGTAATCTCTATCTGTAAAAAATAATTTAATTAGAACATGTTTTTAACATCAAAGACATAAAATCAGGTAATACACTGTTCCTGTTGTTGTTTCTCAAATTTCAAAGAACAGAAATGCGAGCCCTAATTTTGAACCCAATCATGCTAAGTCATAGAGTTTGCGAAAAAATATTTTTTAATATTTTAATATTTATAGGAATCTATACGACAATCAATTTGTAGGCTAAAGTTGATTTGCAAGTTTACTCCCTTGTCCACCTTAATTGATTTTTTGGCCTCTTTTCATGTGATTTATAATATTAAATTTTTTAGATATTAAGAAGGAATTAATTTTTTTTTTTCAAAATTGCCTTTGGAGCAAAGAGCCAAGAAATATTGATTGTATTTCCAATAAACAAATTAAGATTAATATAGTCAATTTCATTGTTAACTAATGCTAAAATGTGAATTCCTTAATATGTGTAAAAACTATAAGGACCGAAAAATCAGGTATCATGCGGAATCTAGCAAAGCAAACCTTGAATGCCGATAAGTCCGACAACAAAAGAGAAATATACTAAAAGAGACACAAACATATAACATGGTTCAGTCAATTGACCTGCGTCCACGACAGAGATGAACAATCCACTATATAAAAAGAGAGTACACAACATCGAGAGAACAAACTCACGAAAAGGCAAACATAAGTGACACACTAACACTTGTCCCGCAAAGTTATCCCCTAAATGAGACTCTTGATGTTTAGCTTAAAGAAAATATATATTTCTATGTATATCGCCTCATATTTTACTTTTGTTTCGTGAATTTAGGATGTTAAATGCGATGATTTGTATTAATTTGAAGTGTAATTATGTGGAGGAATGATTCGGGAGCAATTGGGAGTGAAACGTGCAAAATTAGAGCCAAAACAAACGAAACCGGGAAACTTGCGAATTTGGGTGCCACAGGCAGCACCTTGGGCCACCGGTGGCACTGGAGGCAGTAGCTAAATTGTGAGCAGCGCCCTGGTGGGTGCCTGGCGCTACACAGGGCGCCGATGACGTGATTTCATCCTATTTTGCCCGGGACACAGTTTATTCGGCCCTAAACCTACCCAACATGTATAAAAGCAAGACTAAATCTATTTTTGAGGAAGGGGACGCCACTTGGGAGGAAGAGCACACACGGGATCGTTAGGAAGCAGAAAATTCTCAGTTTTCTTCATCTTTTTCTAGTATTTCCAATTGATTCAACACTTATGCAATTATTTGATTACATCATGAGTGGCTAAATACCCATTGTTCTGGGGTTGTGATTTAGCCATGAATATTATTGTTTGATATTAGCTTGACCTTGATTATAATTCACCAATATATGGTTATTTCTTAAATTTTGTATTTAATTGCTTAATTGTCTGGCCAACGGTTAGGTTCTATTTACTATCTATGCTATGCTTGGGAAAGCCGTGTTTAGATTAGAGAAGAATTGAAGAGAGCATGATCTTAGGGGTTGGATTTGTGGTTAGGATAGGAATATACCTAGTCACCGTACTTAATTAAATATCGTAATCTTAATGCGTTCTTAATAAATTGATTTTATAGTAATATAGGCGTTAATCTATTTTGAATAGGCGAGTAGTACTTCGGGAGAAGACTACGAGAGCATTTATTGATTAATTAGCAACCATGAGTGAATTATATGAAAGGGAGAGTTAATTAGAACACAATATGAATGGTGAATCGATCACAACCCTGGAATACTTGTCTCTACTAAATACATAACAATCAACTCGTACTTGATAATTTAGTTATTACTTAGAATCGTAGTAAAATATAATCATATTATTGGACTTTAATTTTAGATGGATTGAATAGCAATTTTAGTGATTTAGTGAGTAGTTTTATACAAGGCTCTGTGGGTTTGACACTCAACTTATCATTATATTACTTGTACGACCACGTATACTTACGTGTGCATTTGGAAGCAACAAGTTTTTGGCGTCGTTGCCGGGGACTTGAATATAAACTACTTTCTAGTTTTTACTTTAATTGTTTATTTCGTCTAGTCTAACGTTACTTGATTGTTACTCTAATCCCAGGAACTTTGATTGAATGCGTAGGGTTAGAAGCCAGGATTGACTCAACGGCTTTGACCCCGAACCTGAGAAAACATTTCACAGGAGGTTGAGGGAAGCAAGGGATACAAAAAATATTCAACCACTCATTCAATTTCCTGTGAACATGGCAGAGGAGCAACATATGGCTGTTCAGGAGGTAGTAATGTCCAGTATTGCTAATGTTACCTCCAGCATAGTGAAGCCCAGAATTACTAGGCACTTTGAGCTAAAACAGAGCATGATACAACTACTTCATGCAAACAGGCAGTTTATGGGTCTTCCACACGAGGATCTACAATAACATATTCTGAACTTCTTGGATATTAGTGATACTTATATCACTAACGGGGTCGCTCCAGATGATGTGAGGCTCACACTTTTTCCATTCTCTCTGTTGGGCGAAGCTAAGCGATGGCTAAAGCCAGAACCAGCTAAATCCATTATATCATGGAATGATTTAGCAAGAAAATTTTTGGCAAGGTTCTTCCTTTCAGGCAAAATTGCAAAGATCAGAAGTGGGATAGTTGCCTTCAAACAGAAAGCAGGAGAACCTTCATACTCAGCTTGGGAAAGGTTCAAGGGGCTACTTAGAGACGGTCCTCATCACAATCAGACGAATGAAGTGTTAGTTCACACTTTCATAGAAGGGCTCCATCCCCAAACAAAAACTGTAGTAGATGCTGCAACTGGAGGTCAAGTATTGGAGAAAAGCTTTGATAAAATTTATGCATTATTGAACAAATTCTCCAAAAGCAATCCGGATTGAAAAGGAAAGATGGGTAGGAGCATGGTACAAAAATTACCAGGGGTTCTTGAATTAGATGTTGTCTCAGCATTGTCAACACAAGTCTCTACGCTGACCAACCAAGTCAATCAGATGACCACTATTATTAACAATCAACAAGCCCAGCCAGTGCAACAAGTTCAAATATTTTGTGAAGTTTGTGGAGAGGGTCACATGAGCAATCTATGCCCAGTAAATCCAGAGTCTATATATTTTGTGGGTAATGCAAATCGAGGCCAAACAAATCAGTATGGGGGCACCTACAATCCCAACTAAAGGAATCACCCAAACTTTTCCTGGGGTGGAAATCAAGGCAATCAGAATCAATACTGGCCTCAAGCACCTCAACAACAATCCAGACCACCTCAGGCTGAACAACAAGCTAACCTTGAGGAGATGATGAAGAAATTGATGGCCGACCAGCAAGCCCTCAATCAGAAATTAATAGCAGATCAACAAACTTTCAATCAGATTATAATGGTTGATCAACAAGCTCAAGCCGCAGCACTGAGAAATTTGGAGCATCACGTGGGCCAACTTGCCAGTGCCCAAAATACCAGACCAGTAGGGGCTCTTCCTAGTGATACTGAGCCCAATCCTAAAGCTCAAGTTAATGCGGTTACCTTGAGAAATGGAAGAGCATTAGAAGAAGTTCCAAAGAAAAAGAAGAATACAGCTCATCCTGAAGGAGAATTAGTTCCCAAGCCAGTTGAGGGGAATGAGAAAGATGATAAAGGACCCGAGCCAGTAATTGAGACTAGGCCACCACCTCCATTTTCACAAAGACTGTAGAAGCAAAAAGATGATGCTAAGTACAAGAAATTCCTAGATATTTTGCCAAGTGAGTGTGAATTTGTCTTTGGTGGAAATTTTGCAGGAAGTGCCTAAGTATGCAAGGTATCTCAGAGATATTGTGGAAAACAAACGAAAACATGTAGAGTTCAAAACAGTTGCACTTACTGAAAAGTGTAGTGCCAGAGTTCAGAGTAAACTTCCTCGTAAGTTGAAGGATCCTAGGAGTTTCACAATTCCTTTGTCTCTTGGAAAACAAGAAGTTGGTAGAGCCCTGTGTGATTTAGGGGCTAGTATAAATTTGATGTCATCCTCTTTGTTCAAGAAACTTGGATTGGGGGTGCTTAGACCTACTACAATCACTTTACAGTTAGTAGATAGGTCACTAGTCATTCTAGAAGGAATTAATGAGGATGTGTTAGTTCGAGTGGGAAAGTTTATTCTTCCTGCTGATTTTATTATTCTTGATTACGAGGCAGATGAGGAAGTGTCCATTATTTTGGTGCAACCATTCTTAGCTACTGGTGGAACAATTATTGATGTGAGGACAGGGAAGTTAAAAATGTGAGTTGATGCGGAGGAGGTCATTTTTAATGTGTACAAGACACTTAAGCTCCCTAAGCATTATGAGGACTTGTGCATGATTACTGTGGTCGAATTGAAGGGAATAGAGAACAGTCAGTATGTGAATTATAGTGATCCAGATGGGACAACTGAGTTAGAGGAGGTGATGTTTCTAGCTGAGCGTGTAAAGATGATTGAGAAAAGAGCCGGAGATGAAAGAGGAGACCTTCCGAGAGCGTGCAAAAAGGCTAGACTTCATGGGAGAAAGAAGAAGAGAAAGTGCCCAGCTTGAGGAGAGTAGAAGAGTCGTGCCACGACTATAAATAAGGCGCTTGTTGGGAGACAACCCAGCCTGTATTTTAATTTTTTTAATTTTTTTTTATAGTGTCAAGTTTCGTTGTTTTTGTTTTGTAGAGTAAGGGAAGTCTGAGTACCCAAAGTTGAATTTGAGGAGCATGTTTGAGCTTAAGTGTGGGGTCGTCTCGACCCTTAATATTGAGGATCATGTCCGAACTAGGCCCAAGAGGGCCTTAAGGAGTATTTCTCACCCTTGTTTTAATATTTTTCTCTATGATCATGCATCGAGGACTATGCATAATATAAGCGTAGGGTGGGAAAACTACTTTCTGAAGTGTAGTTGTATAAAGCTAATTTTTTTATTTAGCTTTTCTTTTAGAACTCGTCGTAGACATAGTCTAGAAAATAAAAATAAAAAAGAAAAAAAGAAAAAAATTGAAAAAGCTTAGACTTTTCTCGACGATGGATCTTTTGGACAATTTTCTTGAGGGATAAAGTCCGATTAAAAATACCAAAAAGATTTTTTTTGCTTTTTAGAATAACTAGGTAGTTTTCCTTGGTTTTTCTTTGGGCGCCGGTTCTTTTCCAAGGATGTAGCTCGAATTGGGTACTTTATTTTTTATTTTTTTTATTTTTGTTTTTAGGAGTAGTTTAGGAAGAAACTAGGTCTCTTTGAGATATCCATTGACATGGTTGATGCTGGCACCTTAGGCTGTGACATACATTCTATTTTTCCGTATATTTGGTTTGAATTGTAAAGCCTAAGTAAAGTAAATATCCTATTTTGTGACGTCTTTTCTCAGGTGGTTGACTTGTATGCCACATAGTGTAATATTGCTTAATTTTCTCAATTATGTGTGATTGCTTGGCTTGAGAGTTGAACAAAACCATTGTGATTGAGTCATGTGCAACGTGTGTGTGAGGATTTGTGGGTTTCTGTGCTATCCTGTGTAGTCTAGAACTTGCCCCATGTGTTAATTGAAGCGAAATTGTAAGTTGTGCTAATCTAGAAGATGACGTAGGCATTTTCTTGCTTGATCATAGATGTGCTTGTCACATAAAAATAAAATTTTCCGTTGCTATCCCCTTTGAGCCTAGAGACCTTTCTTTTGGCACCCACATTACAAGCCATACCCCTATTTTGTTCTTAATTTGATATTGATTGAACCTTTACCTCCTATGGCACTTAGTCGCTAAAAAAAGTAAGGTGAGATATTGGGGAGTAGCTTTTGAGTGGAATCATGGAAGGGCCCATTGGTGTACTAAAGTTGAAATCAAAAGTCACTAGCCGATGGACTTTAATTTATGGTGTGTGTGAAGAAAAGAAAAAAAACAGAGAGAAAGGAAAAGAAAAATTGCAAGAAAAGAGAAAAAAAATGATAGTGAAAGTATGTAGAAAAATACACACCTCCAATTCTAAATAATGTATGCTAGTGGGAGTATAAAGGTGCTTCATGAAATGTAAGGGCTATATTGCATATGGTGTGTGGCAAGTGAATTGGTTGAGAAGAATAGTTCCTTGAATTGTGAATGTAGTGTATTAAAGTGCTTAGGAGGGTTAGTCACTATCTCTAAATGTATCATACTCGTCCCTTATCCTACATTACAACCTTAAAGTCCTAATTGATCCTAGATTTGGCTAGCTTAAATTAGTAGTGATATAAAACTACGGGCAAGCTTATGGTACGACCAAGGGATGCATATGAATTCTTTATGAGAGTGAGCGAATTTTGTTCAATTGTGTGATGTCCTTAATCTATGTTCAAAAGCATATTTGAATGTGTAGACTAATCTATATTCATTCTTTCGTTTATGGTGAGGGAACATGATCTCATGAATGATTGGTAATATTGTAAACTTTCTTGTTGGGTGAGTACATAAATTGAGGGTGCTTAGTGGTTACAAGTTGGCTTTTGAGGTTGTGTGGTGACAAATAAGTTGTTGAAATTGATTGAATTGAAGGGTTATATTTAGGCATGCTAAACGGGAAGAATGTGAAATTTTGTATGTTCATGCTCGTGTGCCGGTATTGATCATAGTCAAGGGTATAGTGTGTGGTTGAAAGTTAAAGTGCTCCTCTATAATTGAGACTTTTACATAGTTGGGGGTTTATTAGATTGTCCCATTGCTCGAGGACGAGCAAGAGTCTAAGTGGGGGTGTTGATGTTTAGCTTAAAGCATATATATATATATATATACCCAGGGCACCGGTGACGTGATTTCATCCTATTTTGCCCGGGACCCGGTTTATTCGGTCCTAGACCTACCCAACAAGTATAAAAGCAAGACTAAACCTATTTTTGAGGAAGGGGACGCCACTTGGGAGGAAGAACACACACGGAATCATTAGGAAGCGGAGAATTCTCAGTTTTCTTCATCTTTTCCTAGTATTTCCAATTGATTCAACACTTATGCAATTGTTTGATTATATCATGAGTGGCCAAACACCCATTGTTCTGGGGTTGTAAATTAGCCATGAATATTGTTGTTAGATATTAGTATCACACCTCCTTTTTTCTACACCCCCGTAGAAGGGAGTATATAAGGGAGTTTTTTCCAACTTAAAGTGACAATCGAAACGAGATTAATTTATTAAAAATTCAGAGTCGCCACTTGGGATAATTTATGGTGTCCCAAGTCACCGGTTCAAATCCCGAATCGAGGAAAAGATTGACTCTGTATTACAGTCCGCGAACACAGAAATCCGGGTAAGGAATTCTGTTAACCCGGGAGAAGGCGTTAGGCATTCCCAAGTTTCGTGGTTCTAGCACGGTCGCTTAACTGTTATATTCGGCTTAATTATCCGATTTTAAACAATTTTGAACCTATGTGCAAAATTTAGTTTTAGCCACTTTTATTTAATTAATTAAAGGAAGATTGTAACGTCATTTAAAATATGTTTCAAACCATGCCACATAAATGCACCCGCAATCCGCAATACATTTTATCTAACGTTGAGCTTTGGATTTGGGTCACATAAATGTGCACCCGAATTTAAGAAAATTAATTATTCAAATAACGCGGACTCTACATTCAAGAACAGGTTCTCACACTCCTTTCTATGCTAATTCATTATCAGTTATTCCTTAGCAAACATTACCCTTTTTTGTGAATATAAAATTGCCATTTTCTTATATCTACCCACATTTATGCTATTAAATTAAAAGAGAGCCCCACCAAACTATGATTAATAGAAATTGAATATGCGTCTACTATTAATTAGAGGAACAATTAAATCAATTTGTAACCATGGATCAAAAGCAAACCAACAACAGAGTAAAGCATCATAGGGCCGAATTTATTTTAGCAATCAACTAACAAAGGAAAACATATGCCTTTTGAATTATTCAACTAATGATTTAATAACCAAAGTTAACTGACAATTCTAGATTCATTTGAGCACCAGATTAAATTATTGAAGATATTCAAGCATGAACACCTACTTAAGATCAAAAGATATGACATAATAATAAAAAAATTACAGAGAGAAGGATATGAACCGGAAGCATCATAAACCCATTTGCATATATCATTGGACCAACAACATTAGGGGTGGTCATTTCAATTGAAGGATTTCTAACCTTTTGCTGCATACAAAGAAACGAAACCCAAATGAGGTGCTGATTGAAACCTCAGACCGACAACCACGAACAGAACCGGAGACGAACAATGACTAACCACGACCTCGACGCTCACCGGAAAGTTCAGACTAAATCAGAAAACAGACCCGATTAACTCCATGACAATAGCTCCTAATCCGAAGTTGTCTCTTGGCTTATAGAAGTGATGAGATCAACTGTTGATGCGTGCGTTCAAGAGTGAAGAAGCAGCAACGACTCCTCACCTTTTATGCGTATGTGCGTCATGGTGTATGTGTGTGTGTGAAGCTCCGTTCAGTTGTGGGAGATGGGGTCGTTTGGCATGAAGTGAAGGAGTCGGAGCGATGTCTTTGGCTTGGTTGCTGAAGAAGAAGCAAGAGGGAAGCTGTATGTGTGTGTTTCGGTGAGTGTTCTGTCCAAAAGATCAAGAAGAAGCAGCCTAGAGTGTG